AGGCCTGTACTCTGGAGCAGGATCGATTTGGAGGTGGAGGGTCCGTCATGGTCTGGGGCGGTGTGTCACAGCATCATCGGACTGAGCTTGTTGTCATTGCAGGCAATCTCAACGCTGTACGTTACAGGGAAGAAATCCTCCTCCCTCATGTGGTACCCTTCCTGCAGGCTCATCCTAACATGACCCTCCAGCATGACAATGCCACCAGCCATACTGCTCGTTCTGTGCGTGAATTCCTGCAAGACAGGAATGTCAGTGTTCTGCCATGGCCAGCGAAGAGCACAGATCTCAATGCCATTGAGCACGTCTGCGACCTGTTGGATCGGAGGGTGAGGGTTTGGGCCATTCCCCCCAGACATGTCTGGGAACTTGCAGGTGCCTTGGTGGAAGAGTGGGGTAACATCTCACAGCAAGAACTGGCAAATCTGGTGCAGTCCATGAGTAGGAGATGCACTGCAGTACTTAATGCAGCTGGTGGCCACACCAGATACTGACTGTTACTTTTGATTTTGACCCCTCCTTTGTTCAGGGACACATTATTCAATTTCTGTTAGTCACATGTCTGTGGAACTTGTTCAGTTTATGTATCAGTTGTTGAATCTTGTTATGTTCATACAAATATTTACACGTTAAGTTTGCTGAAAATAAACACAGTTGACAGTGAGAGGACGTTTCTTTTTTTGCTGAGTTTAGGTTATAGGTTGAGAGCTTTTGTGAAAGAGTACAGTTAGAAAGATATGGCATATAGAAGCAAACCGGATGGACATCATGAAAACGATCAGAGAGGTTGAGGGTAGAGGAAGTTCAGCAGTAAAAACAAACAAAATATAATTATTGTAAAATTGACTGTGTCCATAAAATGTATATAGTATGTATAAGCTGTAAGTAGAGATCTAAGCGTTGTTGTTCACTAGTTTACTCTAATTAGGGAAGGGGTGGTGGGATTGGAAAGTAATAAAGGGAAATATATTTTTTTTAAGGATATGTATATATATGTATGTAATGTATTTATATGTATGTATGTGTATATGTAAGTCTATGTGTATATATATATATATATATATGCGAGAGAAAAAAAACATATGGGGGATTGGAAGTGATGCAGACAATTACATTGATGGAAGTTACAATCTATCTGCAATATTAAAGCTGATCTACCCCCCCCCCCCCCCCCCCCCAAAAAAAAATAAGATTACAAATAAAAATAAAAAAAGACACAAGGGTTTGCACCTTATTTTCCCACATTCAGTCATCAATTATTGCAGCTGTTTGAAATTACAGGTACTGCAAGGGCAATTACTGTCAAATGATCAGCTCCAGAGTATACTGTTACAGTTAACCCTGCTACAGGCCATTACTAAAACAATCACTCTCAATCTCAACAGTATGTATGTTCCAATCATGATCCCTGTCAAAAAAGGGAACCTTAATATATTTTGTGTATCATCATATAGTGTTTTTAATCATTTTACTATGTGGCTGACGTCTAATGCATTTTAAAGGGACAGTTCACCCAAATTACTAATTGCATTATGGTTTTCTTACCCTGTAAGCGGTCTTCGGACAAGGAGAGACAGCAATCCATGCTTTGGTTTTGTTTACCTGAATGCATTTGGTGACTGTCCAAAAACATTCAAGTTTATATCCCCCAAATTAGCATGTTTTAAATGTCATGCTCAAATATTCCCAATGTGTAGCTCAATAAATGTAGTTTAGGATGATGTGTAACATATACATTTTGAATAAAGATTTATTTGGAAATGAGCACTGGCTTTGATGACACATGCTGTATATACAAACAGCACTCCCAGAGAGTAAATCATCTCTTAGCTTCCTATAAATACCAACTGTTTTAAACAATAGTCTAACCATACTGTACAGTTGGCATGGTTAATAGATAAAGGATATATAACAATAAAAACTCAATAGCAGTGTTCTGTCATATTGTGGCTCATGAGTGTTGGCAGGTGAAAGTGCAGGTTGATCTTGGCAGATCAGGATTAACAATGTGTAACAGGGGATTTCCACAGAGGATTGTTAATCAGGCACTTGGCATGAGAGTAGGGGGACTTTGGAACCCTGAACACACCCTAGCATTTATTTGGCTTGGACACATTCCTTTTCACCTGAGTGAGTGCTGACAGTCAGTTCATCTGGACAGGATAAAACCAATTTTTTTGTATTATTTTTTGTTTATTTAAGTTGAGAAATTGTATGGAACAAATGGTGTGGTACTTGGTAATTGTTTCATTATCCTTTTCATTGTGTATTTATGTTGCATGCTCTTGCAAATCCAGACTGTCCAGACAAAAGAAGAAAGAAAATATTATGCTCAGAATGAAAGACGTGCAAAAAGGGAGCTGTAAGGAGGACGCAAGGAGGCAACATAATACAAAATAAATGTTACTCAGGTACATAACTGATTATATAAAATGGAGGGTGGTTCCTTATCTCAAAGAGCCCAATATCCCCAATATCATTCTAATGCATTGAGTTCATCAAGTCCATAGAGATCTAATTAAATAGAAAATACTGAGAGACCAGACAGACTCATTTCAAAGTATGATTAAGGTAGGGAATTCAAGAAGTCCATTTGTAATTTGACTGAACTATCCCTTTTATGTTAGTGGGACCACTTTCAGTTGCTTATGAATGATTTGTGAGGCATTCATAGGCCTTATAAAAGAGACAGTTAGATGAGCTGAACATGATAGGCGATGAGGTTGGGGTTCTATATGAGGGACGATGCCTGCTTTGTTTTGAAAAGCTGCACACTGTTCTTGGGGAGCTACCTTTTCATACAATGAATATCCTTTGTTTGTACCTAAAACCCTGCCTCCCCTCCACTCCCAACAATGCCAGAAACCAAAACAGTACCAAACCACCTTGTCACATTTGTCAATCAAGGTGTAAGACAACTAATTTAGACCATTGAGCACCACAGCTAACTTTTCCAATTGGCTGGTATAGAAACCCAGGAACCTATGAGCTGCTAGTAAGAGTTTTAAATATCATATGGGGCCCAAGGTTTAAATAGTATGTATTTTCTTTCATATACTGTACTTTGGGTGTTTGATTGAGCCTTCCTGGAGCGTGAGATGGGCAAGTTTGTACTTTTGGGACTATTCCATTGGTTCAATTGTGCCAAACAAGCTCAATGAAGCACATCTAATGCATCTGAAAAAAATTACAAATACTATTTGACAGTAGTGATGACATCTGGGCCCAACATTTAATTGTAGCTCATAATGTAGGCCCTATAGATTTCTTTAATTTCATATGAAGTTCAGCATCAACTCGAGGTCACGAGAAAGGGCCATATTTGAAGGCCCCTCTTTCAACTATTTGACTATCCTTGTGTGCAGTGTTTGCAATTGCTTCCCTCCTCCTCCCCTTCTCCGCCTTCAGTCTACTATCTCATAGGTTCTTTGGAGGATCTTCTGATGACACGATAAACACTAGCGTTACCTGCAGCCGTTGGCTTCCTCTCCCCCTGAATCCTCATTATTAACTCCATGCTAATGAATGAGAGCACACCCAGACATGCTTCAGCTCAGCTTGTATAAAATAGAAAAAGGTGCTCAACTGAGGATTTAGAAATCCAATGAGAAACATCTTACCCCAGGACCCTCCACAAGATCACTATCGCAGAAAACTGGTTGGTTCATGAGTTGGACGTCATAAGAGGTCAAGGATCACAGCAGGTATGTGCTGCATTATGCCTGCAGCCTGCATACATGAGAAGGTTTTGATTTTGGATGTGGGCTTATGCTACAATAATCATGGCTGCTGCTGCTGCTGCCGCTCCAACAGAATATTTATAATAGAAGAGAGGAGAGTGATCATAAACTTCTGGGGGGGAAATAGTCATAGTTATAAGCAGCTGTAATAAATGTACATTAATACATTCTGATTAGGGTGCGCATTTGGCAGGCACTGGATTATGCTTTCCAACACGCAAAATTGTTGTCTCTGCCTCGGATCCTCCGAGGCGGAGACAAAGCAGGGTTGAGCATGGTTAGAAGTAGGCCTGCCTGTCCAAAATGAACATATCGTTACATATCACCAAAAACATTCACCAATAAAAGAAAACTACTGAATAAGGATTTCATGTTTTTATGACACTCAACAGGTCATAGGGAGCTTGATAAGCGTGCACGAATTTTGCGTGTTGGAAAGCATAATCCAGTGCCTGCCAAATGCGGAGGAAGGTGTGCTCGGAGGGTAGAGTGGAGACAGGCTTCTCTTGAGTCGGATATGACCTGTTGTGACGTGACTTGCGTCTGCCTCCATGGAAGACCATATTCCACATCAAGAACAGTCAATGTTAACCTTATTGTTTTCTTTTTCTTCTGTTTTCATAGGGGTTTTTTGATAATTTTTGTAATGACAAGGACTATAAAAAAATATTGTAAATCATTATCAGTTGTCTATTGTCATTTATCTTGGTTTATTGGACATTTTTATTTGGGTCCAACAAGAGGCTGGTCTTAGCAGTAAATATGATTAAATAACTTGATTTATCTATTTCAGTTAATGTTTCTAACTAAGCTTCGGTGTGCATCTGAACAGGAAAACTAAATAGTGAGTTGAAGGGGATGATGCTGCTAATTTCCTTTGGGTAGGCTTTTCAATTAATTTACTAAATTAATGCATCCATAAGAAAATATATACTGTCTTGTAAAAAAAACAGGATGACATCATTAGAATTGTGTGTGTATATATATAACACAGTCAATAACTAAGTAGATAGCGCTAAGCCCACACATATCCAACATTTACCCAAACTCCGGAATTCTAAAACCATTCTTCCAATCATATCAAAGACAAAAACTCGGAGGAAACTCCGACCGCAAACACTCCGAAATGCAAAGCAGGCCTACATCTCAAAACAGGTGCCACAAGTGCCACAAGTGCCAACGTTTGACATCGAGTTACAGACATTGTTTTGACTGTACATTCTACTGTATTTACACAGAAAACAAAGACCGAATGGATATTCAAAGGTAGCACATCTCTGAACTTGACATATCACGCCTGAAGTAGCTGTCCTCCGCAGGCGAGGCGTATACATAGTCTGTTGTGCCATAAGGTGCGTATTCTGGAGTGGAGACGCTCGCCTGGAGGTTGCAGTTCTGGTAGTGGTAGAGCTCTGGAACAAACCCATAACTCGAGTCCAGCCTCGTCGGAGAGTTGTAACACGACGAAGAGTATGACTCCTGTGGCGAATAACTATTGTAATCGACCGGACTTGGCATATTCAGGGAACCTGATGGTGAGCTGGGAGACTGAAAAAACAAGCCAGAGGAGAAGTGCATTAATATTGTTGTACAGAATAACAAAACCATGTCCTATTCCAAGCCAAATCTCTCAATGAACAAACAGTCTGAGCTTTGTCAAATATTTAAACTGACCGTGGATAATTGCAAAGACAGGAGATTGCGCAACTGAATTTGAATAAAGCATACCATGCCATGGCCGTAATAGCCCATATTCGGGGAGTGATTTTCCTGGCACAAAAGTTTTGTTGAGGTAGCGGGATACGGAATACCACTGCTGTAGATCTCGTTGGGCATCATCATGCTTATCAATTGTTGATTATCGAAGCTCTCCATCTGGACGTTGCTGTCTGTAATGGCCTGCGGCTGAAAGATGCAGTTGGAATTCATCTCTTCAGGGACATAATCAAAATAATGGCCTATAAGAATGAACGAGAAGGACCAGTGAGAGGGTGCATACATAAACACATGCAGGGAGACATTTAAATAAGTGAAGACTCCAGAAGTGATGTCACGGCACCACCAGCCAACAGCTAAAAAACAAATTTGAATGCAAGTTTATAAAAAGGTCCCAGTACACTGCACTTTAGGAATGTAGGTCAGTGTCAATTGTATAGAAAAGAAATATGTTTCAACTATTCTGCTGTGGTCGTTGATACTCCATGTAAGTGTCAATCTAGATATTTTACCTGACCGAATCTGATGTTCAATTCAGACGCTCCGACTATATTTTATAATAGGCTTATGTGATGGATTTTACAGCTATTTAGCTATTTGCATATATGATGCATAATACATTGCCTTCTGTCTTTTGGATCGAAGCTTGTTTATTTGATGATGGTTTTCTGCAACGCCCCCACTAGACATTTAAAATGGCATTTCATGTACTTTAATGTAGGCTACATCTATTTTCGTTAACAGGTTTGGATGCAGTCACGAGCATTATTTTTTAGTATAGAACATTGATTCTGGACCTTCCATGGTGATGCTTTGCCGAACTAAGATTTTGGGATCAAGATAATGTCAGACAATGGAATGCTATATAGAAATTCTGATTTATTTGGACATATTTGAACTTACCTGGCAAGGAGGAGGAGACGCAAACATCCTGACTCACCAAGCTCTGGGATTTCTATTCATTTAGGAAAATAAAAAATAAAGGGAGACAGAGAGGAAACATAAGTGCCCATTCATTTGCAACAGTTCGATTTTTTGGCTGGTTCTTTTTCATCCCGGGAGAATGACGCATTTAGTATCTTCAACTAACAAGTAGCCTACCACCCACTGTATAGCACAATAATGGCATTTGTAGATTTTTTATTCTTCTTCTTCTTCATTTCGGAGGGTTGATTGAGTGCGTGTGTGTGTGTGCGTGTGCGTGCACGTGCGCGCGTCTGTGTGTGTGTGTGTGAGAGAGAGAGAGAGAGAGAGAGAGAGAGAGAGAGATCTTTTTCACTTGCTTTGGCAATGTAAACATATGTTTCCCATGCCAATAAAGCCCTTAAATTGGGGAGAGAGAGCGAGAGAGAGAGATCCAATAACTATTAGCCTATAGTATGTGTGATCAATTAAGGGAGTGGCTCCAATAATAATAATAATATGCCATTTAGCAGACGCTTTTATCCAAAGCGACTTACAGTCATGCGTGCATACATTTTTTTGTGTGTATGGGTGGTCCCGGGGATCGAACCCACTACCTTGGCGTTACAAGCGCCGTGCTCTACCAGCTGAGCTACAGAGGACCACAAGCGTCATCTTTGCCATATGTTCATATACATATACGTCATTTAGCAGACGCTCTTATCCAGAGCGACTTACAGTTAGTGCATACATTATTCTTTTTTATTTTCATACTGCCCCCCCGTGGGAATCGAACCCACAACCCTGGCGTTGCAAACGCCATGCTCTACCAACTGAGCTACCTCCCTGCCGGCCATTCCCTCCCCTACCCTGGACAACGCTGGGCCAATTGTGCGCCGCCCCATTGGTCTCCCGGTTGCGGCCGGCTACAGCAGAGCCTGGATTCGAACCAGGATCTCTAGTGGCACAGCTAGCACTGCGATGCAGTGCCTTAGACCACTGCGCCACTCGGGATAATTAATAATAATATTATCCCGCCACTCGGGATAATAATGTTCCGTCATTATTGTTCTGATTGTAATATTGTCAATTGCCATATGAATATAAGAACATCTAAAACAGCTTGAACAGTCCCTACATTAAAGAATGTCCCACTGTTACTGCTAAACGATCATCAATTGATAGGCTACTAGAGAGCAGACCTGATGGTCAATCATTAATGAGGCATGCAACTTCGTGTTTGGGGTAAGGTTGGTGGCTGTTGCGGGAATTGAGGAAGTTATTGCAATGGAGATTTCATGGAGAGAGCAACACCTCCAATTATGCTGAAACTGTGTGTGTGTGTGTGTGTGTGTGTGTGTGTGTGTGTGTGTGTCTGTGTCTGTGTGTGTGTGTGTGCGCGCGCGCACGGCCCCCGGCGCGTACGTCCTTGCGCGCCAGAGAGAGCGAGACGAGAGAGAGTGTGAAGTGATAATTACCATTCTAACGGTTTTAATTGGTGTCTGGAGAGCTCTCCGCTGTTGCAGCAACTCTTTAACCGTTGTCTTCACCCGCACGCCCTGGTAAACCTTTGACTTATCTGTCGAAAGAGAAAAACATGGTGTCGATGTTTACTGTAAACAAACTTGAATTGTCCCAACCCTGCCACTCTCGAGCACTTTCACTGCCTGCTGCACACTTTCACTCAACAATTTAGTTAGGCCTACTTAATAATTAAAAAAACATTGGAATATTATTAAAAACACATTTCAATATCACTATAAGATGGTTTTGATCAGGGTATTTCATGCAATGTATTACACCTAGACTTATTTGTGAATTTCAATCGAATTATGCAATATAATATGAACAAATGGCTGTCCTTATGCATCGCTCAAATGTTGCCCAAGTTATTGTATCAAAGTTGCCCATGCGAAAGCGAGAAGTGTCCTAATATTGTCCTACATAGGTCTATATTCTCTGTAGCCTACCTCTGCGTGAACCTCGCACGGTAGAGACAGGGTTTCGAATTTCACAGTCAATACAGTGGGCTTGCCTTCACACTCATTTCAAGCACCAGGGAAAGCTGTGCTAAAATGCTATTGTGAATGTAACCTTTCGATTTTATTTGGATAATATGTTTATTTTAATTCTATACATAGGACTAAAACACAGGTTAAACGTTGCGATCCATGAAAAGGGGCTGATCATATTCCGTGAAAGTAGGGAAGTGAAGTTAGGCTACAGGTAAAGCGGGCAAACAGCGGCCTAGTAAGAGTCAATAACAAAGAAACCAAAGGACTCCACAAATCCGGCAAAAATAAGGTGAAAATGGAAGACTTCGCTTGAGAAATTCAAATCCATTATAAAAGTAAGTTACTTTTACGCTCCGTACTTAGCCTACATATCGTTGGTAGGCTATGGGATAACAATATGAGCTTTAGCCTACCGGAGGGTAAAATAAAAGTTGTTTTGATTTTGATGATATAATCATTCCGGTTAGCCCATCGAAGCCCCAAGCCTGACAATTACGCAGAAAAACCACTTAGCTTTCTGTAAAACTCATCCGTCGAAGCAGGGCTGCATTTGAAATGAAATTGCAGACTAATGTAGGCTATCAAAACATAGCCTACTGTAAATTATCGGGTAATTGAACTGTAATAGACTGATAGGTTAGAGCCGTTGCCTATACTCACTCTAAACACATGTTCAATGTTTTAGTGCAGGAGCCTAGCTTTTGGATTTTTATGCTAAAATGAACGGTACTTATATATGTACGCCTTCGATTGTATGTCATGGCTTTACTTCTAACTATAAAGGGGTAAAATGTTCTACTCCAATGACCAAAGTCATTACAGAAACGACGCCACACATTGGTAGAACTCATTAAGGCAGTCAGAGACTGTCTCAGGAGTGGAAAGTTGGCGGTAAAGGTGATTCGATAATAGCAGCTGCCGGCAGAATCTAAAGAGGTGTGCTTGGCTGTCAAACCCATCCTTTTAAATATTCATATACTGAAATGTCAGATCATGATTTGTCTTAAATGAGGCAAATAGTAAAGCTACCCAAAATACACATCCCACTACTGCTTAAAATGACCATTTGTAAGTTTACATATTACCGTGTAATTACAATGACTACAATTACAGTTGAATCGACAAGAATAATGCAAATAAAATCGCGTTTGAGTTGAGTTATCCTTACACCCTAACGTGGACGAAGTGGCCAAAAGTAGTGATGTTTAAGAAATAAGCTAAACACTATTTTAAAACGTTGTTCGATTAAATTGCTAAGTATTGTAATAGAAAATAGCATACATCATGCAGGTAATAGGCATTAATCCACATGAGGTCATTGTTGAAGATTAGTTTCCATCACTCTTTAGTTAAAACACATTTACATTTACATTTACGTCATTTACGAGTTCCATACTTTTTTTCATCAGAACCTCGCAGTTTCCACAGAAGCTGAAACAACATGTTGTGCAATGTCAATTATTTCCAATCGTTTTGTTCTAACATTTCTATTTCTTTCTTTCTTTCTTTCAGGAGGAACGTAAAAGAGAACCATGATCCGAAGAAAAAATAATTATAAACTTACCAGACATGTTGTAAAAATTAAGAAAGAGTCCTGGAAGAAGAGCAGTTGTGAGATTCCACAATGTCCTTTTTTGGCTCAGTTATATGGGCTATAACGAAATATTCATAAAAGTCACACAAATTCTCAACACACAAGTCTTAAAACTGTCTCTGAGCATACAATAATATCCTAATATAGCTAGGGATATATTAGTTTGTGAAATTTTCTTTCCATGCCTACTTTTTAAAACCCCTAGAACTCAATGATTTGACAATGATTTGATTGCGCGTTACTTTCAATTTGAATATTCAAAGGCTACTCAAAAATACAGATTGTTCAGTATAAATCAGTACATATGCACTTAAAATAACATCCCATTTAATAGAATATAATAATATTTTATACCCAAACCAAAAAGAAATGGACATTTTAAACATTTTATCCATCTTTTGCCAATCTGGCCATCAGTCCCCCTTCATAATGAGGCACTACAGGAAAGTAACGGTTAGATGTCCTATCTAAACATGACCAACAATTACACATCGCAGATCATATGTATTTCAGAATGGATAAGCACATCAACACGTTATCACCATACATTTTTAGTCTGATTTTAAACAAGAAACTATTAAATGTCTAGGTTATGGGCGTGGCATATGGTAGCAGCCATGTCTGCCATCACCTACTCCATTGCTCCCTCAGCAAGTGCATGCTCCCCATCACTGGAGCTCACATCACCCACGTGTTACCAATTGTATTATAGTTGTTTTAGCATTATTTAGTTTAGTTACATTAATTATGTCAATTATTCATATAAATATAAAGACTGAAAGTTTCAGCCATTCACTTGTCAAACCTGATTTGACATCCCAGGGCTTGGCTACTTTATACAAATTGAGAAAACTTTTACAAATGGATTACAATGCAAAAATTCTGTTTACATATGTCTGATATAATTTCAACTCAATGACAAGACTCCTTGATTAGTCTACTTGTATAGCCTAGGCCTACTTAGATGTGGGCAAAGTATTTTCAATTGATAAACTAATTGGAATAGGGTTACTGTCCATGCCTGTTTTAATGTATAAGAGTTCACAACTTAATACATATGATATGAACAAACCACATGTTATCAGAAGGCAATTTTCACTCAAATCTTTTAAGAAAACATGAGCACATTGCTTTAGAGAAACCGTTTCCTAGAGATGTTCTTCCATTGCCATTGTGAGCCTACATTACATTTGAATAACAATTTACAAACATATCAAACAATGAACACTAACATATACCTAGTTTTAATTAAAAAAGCTTAGATTCAGTTTTGGGGTATCGATCTATCATTATCCTCATTCATATATTGAGAAAATGCACATACTATCTTCCCAATACAATCTATGGCCTTTCCTGATTTATACTGGTAGGGGCCTATACAATGATCCCTATTATCGCAGTGCTAACTGTGCCACTAGAGATCCTGGTTCGAATCCAGGCTCTGTCGCAGCCGGCCGCGACCGGGAGACTCATGGGCGGCGCACAATTGGTCCAGCGTCGTCCAGGGTAGGGGAGGGAGTGGCCGGCAGGGATGTAGCTCAGTTGATAGAGCATGGCGTTTGCAACGCCAGGGTTGTGGGTTCAATTCCCACGGGGGGCCAGGATAAAAAAATATGTTTTCACTAACTGTAAGTCGCTCTGGATAAGAGCGTCTGCTAAATGACGTAAATGTAATTATGTAGGCCTAAAGCCCGTCATCTCCACTGGGTAGTTGTATTGACCAACTTCTCACCTTCCATAAAGTAGGACATAGGCCCATTATCCTAACTACCAAGAATATTATGCTAGTGCTCTCCTATAATATCTAACGTTTCGCTTTTTATTTATTTATTTATTTCTGGCGTTGCAATTTCCTCCCCGTGAAATACGCTGAGACCGTAAGAGACGAGGTAACATGAAATAACAGCGCCATCTAGTGTAGGATATACGTAAGTAGGCTCTCCCTCTTAATTCGATTTAGTGGTGGCAGAAAAAAATAAGTCAACAAACGGAAAAGTCTTTCTCGTGTGTAATTTTAGCAAAAAATATGTTTAATTTTCATGCATTAATTGCAGTCTCTTTTATTATATTGGATTCATAATAAACATTCTACTACCCAATACATTATCAATGTTGTTTATTTCTTGAAATGAAAAGCCAAACACAGGAAACATTGATTCATCAGAGAAACTGGGAGTATGGTAAATCACTTGCACCCATTGACCAAGTCAGTGTCTCTAAATGTAAAATATTCAGGTGTAGATTCCCATTCAATTCTTGAAGTATTCTGTGGATGGTCATCTCTGATTGTCTTTCATTATATTCAATAATTTTCTTTGAGTTGTCACTGCTGCCTATTACTACTAACGAATGCTTTGCAACAAGCTACTAAAAGATACAAAAGATAAACAAAAAAAAACTACAAATTCATTACCAAAGCGTCATAGAGTAAAGAGTAACATGAAGCAGATACAGTTTGACAAACTCTGATTTGGTTATTAAAGCAGACAACAAGATGATATTAAGTAAAGAAGAAGGTTAAAGTAAAACAACCTTTAGCAAAAATAAAGATCTTATTGGAATACACATGTTCATCGGAATTGTTGCAATGACAGTATATACATTAAAATGATGTTTTTCTAATATAATGACTATATGAAAACACCTCTATTTCAAACATTTGAACACAGGCAAAGTCATCCTAGGTCTAACCACTGAATCATAAATGCTCCTTTACATTATCAAGTGCCCATGCAAATGGTTCCCCCTGGGCACAGAGGTCAATTCAATGTTAAAATAATAAAATACTATGCCATTTAGCAGACACTTTTATCCAAAGCGACTTACAGTCATGCGTGCATACATATTTTTTTTTGTGTATGGGCGGTCCCAGGGATCGAACCCACTACCTTGGCGTTACAAGCGCCGTGCTCTACCAGCTGAGCTACAGAGGACCACATTGATGCAACCAGTGTGTGCCCAGTGAGTTAATTCTTACATACTCTTACTGTATATCACCAGGGGACTTAGGAGGGTCAAATAAGTCAAAGTTGTACTTTGTGGACTTTGCTCATCTCTTTATAGAAGTACAAAGTCAAATATTTGGATCACAAGGAGCTGAATCGCTTGCATCAGCATTGTTTTGGTTTTCTGTGAAGGACAGGTTGTTTCCAAATGGACTTAATAAGACCTCAGAATCTCATATGGTGACCAAGAGCTTTCGCCATCTTCTTTCACCCACGAGTGAGTGTCACTATGTGTGGCGAGAGTACTGTCAGAGTCCTCATTAGCTAGACGGGCCATCTTGGAGGCTAGGTCATTGGAAACAGTCATATAGGAAGGGCATGTGAAAGTGGAGGCGGCAGGGTAAGAGGTCTGGTAGTGTACTTCTTCCAGAGGGTGAAGGGCATAGGGCTGTGCCGAGCCAATGGAGGAGCTGCGGGTGGAGTAGCGGTACTGTGAGGGGCTCCTGGGAGGGTCGGGGCTGGGCAGGGAGACTGGAACAGAGGTCAGGCCATCTGCACACAAGCCCTCTCCCTGGGTCACTGGGTCTGCCACTGGCTGCTCCCACAAATCTCTCTGCAGGAGCAACAGACAGAGGAAAGGATAGAGATGTGTTAGAGATGATGGAAAAATTACTATTTTTTGTTGGTATTGCAGATTGCGGAATGCCCTAAGATGTATGTGTAAAGGAGTTGGTTTGGAACCATGCTCGTGTGATGATTAACCTTGCTGGAGACCTGAAGACGTGTTGGCTCCCTGAGCTAATGTCTGGGTTTTATCTCAGTGGGCTAACAAAGTCTTGTAGCACACAGATCTGGGTTCAAACCCCAATCATTTAAATAGGAACCCACTTGTGGAATATTATTGATTTTTTCCTTCATGCTTGTGTGAAATGTGTGCTCATTTGGATGTACCCTACCCGCTCCAGCCTCCATCCCTATTCTCACATCACATAAAACACAATAACACATACGACCTGTTTCCTGGATTTAGCCTAGCCTTGAACACACTTCTTAGTCCAGGACTTTAAACCATATTTGAGAAACTGGCCCATAATGTGAAGCCATAGCTCGACAGTCCCATTCTATCACCAGCACTGACCACTGACAGAGTGCCTTACCAGGAGGAAGTGGGGGGACTCTCCGGAGAAAGGTGGTAGCAGAGTGGACAGGGCTGAGCTGGGGAAGATGGAGCTCCCTCCGGTGGTGAAGGCTGCACTGCGGTAGTCTCCAAACGTTTCCGGGTAGTAGCTGTCTATGAAGGAGGAGTAGCCCGACATGGCCGATGGGTCACAACCCAGAGGCTTGCCCCCAAGGGATGAGGAGTAGACATCGGCTGAGAACTGCTTGGGGGAGAAGTCTGAGTCGGAGATGAAGGGTCGCCTCATGCCGTAGTAGCCAGGGATCATGTGAGACCCTGTTGTAAAGGGAACCAGGAAGAAAACATTAGTAACAAGTGGTCCTGTGTGGCTCGGTTGGTAGAGCATGGTGCCTGCAATGTCAGGATCGTGGGGTGCGATTACGGCTGGGGCCACCCAAAATGTATGCACACACTACTGTAAGTCACTTTGGATAAAAGTGTCTGCTTAATGGCAAAAAATATACAGTACCAGTCAAATTCTGGACACACACTTTATCCTTCTCATAGGCCTCACTTAGAGTTGGACCTGAAAGGACAGCCCAGCTCTAACCTGAAGTAGTTTTTTGGTTAATAATAATAATAATAATATGCCATTTAGCAGACACTTTTATCCAAAGCGACTTACAGTCATGCGTGCATACATTTTTTTTTTTGTGTGTATGGGTGGTCCCGGGGATCGAACCCACTACCTTAGCGTTACAAGCGCCGTGCTCTACCAGCTGAGCTACAGTTGTTCTTACAAATCAAATAAAAGTTTATTGGTCGCGTACACAGATTTGCAGATGTTATGCCTGTGTTTCTAGCTCCAACCGTGCAGTAATACCTAGCAATAATAAAATAAAACACAATGCACACAATATAGTGAGGGAAAAAAGTATTTGATCCCCTGCTGACTTTGTACGTTTGCCCACTGACAAAGACATGATCAGTCTATAATTTTAATGGTAGGTTTATTTGAATAGTAAGAGACAGAATAACAACAACAAAATCCAGAAAAACACATGTCAAAAATGTTATAAATTGATTTGCATTTTAATGAGGGAAATAAGTATTTGACCCCTCTGCAAAACATGACTCAGTACTTGGTGGCAAAACCCTTGTTAGCAATCACAGAGGTCAGACGTTTCTTGTAGTGGGCCACCAGGTTTGCACACATCTCAGGAGGGATTTTGTCCCACTCCTCTTTGCAGATCTTTCTCCAAGTCATTAGGGATTCGAGGCTGACATTTGGCAACTCGAACCTTCAGCTCCCTCCACAGATTTTCTCTGGGATTAAGGTCTGGAGACTGGATAGGGCACTCCAGGACCTTAATGTGCTTCTTCTTGAGCCACTCCTTTGTTGCCTTGGCCATGTGTTTTGGGTCATTGTCATACTGGAATACCCATCCACGACCCATTTTCAATGCCCTGGCTGAGGGAAGGAGGTTCTCACCCAAGATTTGACGGTACATGGCCCCGTCCATTGTCCCTTTGATGCGGTGAAGTTGTCCTGTCCCCTTAGCAGAAAACATTTTCCACCTCCATGTTTGATGGTGGGGATGGTGTTCTTGGGGTCATAGGCAGCATTCCTCCTCCTCCAAACACGGCGAGTTGAGTTCCTGCCAAAGAGCTCGATTTTGGTCTCATTTGACCACAACACTTTCACCCAGTTCTCCTCTGAATCATTCAGATGTTCATTGGCAAACTTCAGACGGGCCTGTATATGTGCTTTCTTGAGCAGGGGGACCTTGCGGGTGCTGCAGGATTTCAGTCCTTCACGGCGTAGTGTGTTACCAATTGTTTTTTTGGTGACTATGGTCCCAGCTACCTTGAGATCATTGACAAGATCCTCCTGTGTAGTTCTGGGCTGATTCCTCACTGTTCTCATGATCATTGCAACTCCACGAGGTGAGATCTTGCATGGAACCCCAGGCAGAGGGAGATTGACAGTTATTTTGTATTTCTTCCATTTGCGAATAATCGCACCAACTGTTGTCACCTTCTCACCAAGCTGCTTGGTGATGGTCTTGTAGCCCATTCCAGCCTTGTGTAGGTCTACAATCTTGTCCCTGACATCCTTGGAGAGCTCTTTGGTCTTGGCCATGGTGGAGAGTTTGGAATCTGATTGATTGATTGCTTCTGTGGACAGGTGTCTTTTACACAGGTAACAAGCTGAGATTAGGAGCACTCCCTTTAAGAGTGTGCTCCTAATCTCAGCTCATTACCTGTATAAAAGACACCTGGGAGCCAGAAATCTTTCTGATTGAGAGGGGATCAAATACTTATTTCCCTCATTAAAATGCAAATCAATTGATAACATTTTTGACATGCGTTTTTCTGGATTTTTGTTGTTGTTATTCTGTCTCTCACTGTTCAAATAAACCTACCATTCAAATTATAGACTGATCATTTCTTTGTCAGTGGGCAAACGTACAAAATCAGCAGGGGATCAAATACTTTTTTCCCTCACTGTATATACCTTAAAAAATGTTTTTTAAAGAAATACCAGAGACTATATATATTAAGTGTGCCTTGAATTCTAAATAAATCACAGACAGTGTCACCAGCAAACACCCCCACACCATAAGACCTCCTCCTCCATGCTTTACGGTGGGAAATACACATGCAGAAATTATCCGTTCACCCACACCGCGTCTCACAAAGCCACGGCGGTAGGAACCAGAAATCTCCAATCAAGACCAAAGGACACATTTCCACCGGTCTAATGTCCATTGCTCATGTTTCTTGGCCCAAGCAAGTCTCCTTCTTATTGGTGTCCTTTAGTGGTGATTTCTTTGCAGCAATATGACCATGAAGGCCTGATTCACACAGTCTCCTCTGAACAGTTGTTTTTGAGGTGTGTCTGTTACTTGAACTCTATGAATCATTTATTTGGGCTGCAATTTCTGAGGCTGGTATCTCTAATGAACTTATCCTCTGCAGCAGAGGTAACTCTGGGTCTTCCATTCCTGTGGCGGTCCTCATGAGAGCCAGTTTCATCATAGAGCTTGATGGTTTTTGCGACTGCACTTGAAGAAACTTTCAAAGTTCTTGACATTTTCTGTATTAACTGACCTTCATGTCTTAAAGTATTGATGGACTGTTGTTTCTGTTTTCTTATTTGAGCTGTTCTTGCCATAATATGGACTTGGTCTTTTATCAAATATGGCTGTCTTCTGTATACCTTGTCACAACACAACTGATTGGCTCAAATGCATTAGGAAGGAAAGAAATTCCACAAATTAACTTTTAAGAAGGTACACCTGTTAATTGGAATGCATTCCAGGTGACTACCTCATGAAGCTGGTTGAGAGAATGCCAAGAGTGTGCAAAGCTGTCATCAATATAAAATATATTTTGATTTGTTTAACACTTTCTTGGTTACTACATGATTCCATATGTGTTATTTCATAGTTTTGATGCCTTAACTATTATTCTACAATGTAAAATATTTTAAAAATAAAGAAAACCCTTGAATGAGTAGGTGTGTCAAACTTTTGACTGGTGGTATATATATGAATGGTTTGTACACTTTACTTACAGCCTGCAGGTAGGGGGATACCTAGTCAGTTGAACAACTGAATGCAATCAATGGAAATGTGTCTTCTACATTCAGCCCAACCCTTGAGAATCAGAGATTTGCTGGGGGCTGCCTTAACTGACATCTTCAGCCCCAGGGGAACAGTTGTAGGGGTTAGCTGCCTTGCTCAAGGGCAGAACGGGAGATTTTTTCAATTTGCCAGCAACCTTTCGGTTATTGTCCCAATGCTCTAACCGCTAGGCGACCTGCCGCCTCATCTACCTGATCTGCCTCCCCATCTAGGCGACCTGCCACCCAGGTACAATGCATTATGGTGGTTTTAATGCATTGTAAGATTTGTCCTAAATATATATGACACCCTTATATTGTGATATTATAATCTCATAAAATCTTGACTAAATAACAAAAATTTAGAGTCAGTAAAAAAAATCCTACATAGAGAGGCATAAAATATTATAAATCTTATGAAGGCTCATAAATGCTTAGAACTAATAAGTAATGAAGCCTTATACCTGCAGGAAAATGTTTCTAGTGGGCAGTAGCTATCAGAACAAAGCATACAGTATAAGTGGAGTACACATTCAAAGCTCTGGTGGTTACTGTTAACATTGAAAATATTGTGCCTGGCCTTTCCACAAGCCTTCACCATTGAATGGGTTTTATTCTACTTTTTCAGAACATTACCTGTAAATGTGACATTTAAACATTTTTGTCTATAATACTGTACTTCCCTTACTTCAAACACTATTGTAATGAATACACGGACAGAGTGGTAAGATCCAATCGCAGAATAGCGATGCTTTATTAGAGTACAGACAAGGGTATAGCTTAATCGTGGTCGGGCGGGCTGTGGTCAAAACCGGGCAAGGCATAGACAGGCAGAGGTACCAAAGGAGCGGGCTTAGTCGTAGTCGAGGGCACCGGCACAGGATCAGAGCACGGTAATCACTGGGGTAGACAAGCAGAGGATTAAGCAATTCGGGGAGTCAAACAAGGCACAGGTCGGATACACGGTTAATCAAAACAAACTCTCTCTCTCTCTCTCTCTCTCTCTCTCTCTCTCTCTCTCTCTCTCTCTCTCTCTCTCTCTCTCTCTCTCTCTCTCTCTCTCTCTCTCTCTCTCTCTCTCTCTCTCTCTGAACAAAACGCTTAGCAAGTCACAAAGGAACAATACCTCGCACCGACTGAACCTCTGAGCACACCTTATATCCTACCCTAATTACGGACAGGTGTGCTCAGAACTCAGGTGAACCAGATCGAGTCTGATGACTCCCCCTCTCTGTAGATCGGGGAAGTGTCAGTCTCTGTCTAGACCCAGCCAACCCCTTACAACTATTAGGAGAGTTGGTAGGTCAATGGGACTTATCAAAATGACATAATTTATCCAGAGAGTTTTCTCACCTGGCATTTGGACAAATGATGATTAGCTAGATGTTCCTCCCTACAAATGAAAGAACAGACAAACATAAAAGCCTGGATCCATGGCATTATGAAAACAGGTCTGATTCTGGTAACACATAACATGCCACGTTCTGAGGACAAGCCGAAACGGATGTCAGTGTGTGGTATATTAAGACATGTTGGTATGATATAAAGAAGCTTCAAGAAATTCAACTTATATCCAAGTGAGGGTAACACTTTATTTGGATAGTCCATCTGTAGATGCTCTACAGACTATCTACATTCTTAGAAGAAAAGGTGCTAAGTAGAACAATATAGGATTCTTC